CTGCTTCTTTTTTTTTTTTTGGAAGTTTGTGGCGAGTGAGATTGGTCTTCAGTTGTTTGGCTTAATTCACTAGTGATGCTGCCAGGTCCTTGGCCTTTCTTTCACGGGAGACGTTTTGTTGCTGATTCAAGCTCCTTAGTCTTCTACTAGTAGTCTGTTCAGATTTTCTATTTCTCCATGCTTCAGTCATTGTAGGCTCTTTGTGTCTAGGACTGTATCATTTTCCTCTAGATCAGAAGTCCCCAACCTTTTTGGCACCAGAGACCAGTTGTAGCAGACAATTTTTCCATGGGAGGAGTGGCAGAGGGGGGAAGTGGTGAGACTGGGGGTGTGGTTGCAGGATATTTAAGTGTATTACATTTATTGTTCACTCTAGCTCTGTTATTATTATATTATATTATATAATTAAACAATTATTCAACTCACCATAGCAGAATTAGCGAGAACCCTGAGCTTGTTTTCTTGTAACTGGACAGTCCCATCTGGGGGCAGTGGGAGACAATGACACCTGAAGTGTATTGCTTATGTCCACTCTATGCCATGATCTCATTTTGGTTCTTACCACAGAAACCCCTGCTTCACAGAGATAGGATGTTTGAAATGGAACCAGGCTTTTCACTGCTTTTGTGGCAATTTTAGGACATTCCTCCTTGACTTTAATCCAGAACATATGGAGAGTTGAAGTTGTTTAAAACACTTCGAGGCCACCATCATTTGCTATCTCAAGTAGTTGATCCTTTTCTAGTATGGTCCGAGTTGATTCACCTGGCTTATTCACAAATGAGTCTTGGATCCATTCCTTCCCAGTTTGGGGGTTGTCCTAGTTACTTTTCTCATTGCTGAGACAAAATACCCAACACCCAAAGTTAAAGGAGGAGAGGTTTATTTGGGCTTAGAATTTGTAGAGGTTTCAGCCCATAATTAGCTGGCTCCAAGGCAGGGTGGCATGACAGAGGGACATCACTGAGGATAAATAGTCTGTAGTAAGCAGGCAGGCAAGAGCACATTAGCACTTTTTCTGTTCCTTATTAGTTTATGCAGGTTACCTGTTGTAGGGCAAATGTACCACTCATACCCTTAGTCCTAGCCAGAGCTATGCCAAACCAGTCAGTGGACTGTTTTAGGAATCACACACCCTTGACCCCAGCACCACACACTCTAGGTCCAGCCCTCTCTGAACTTCCCCCACCATGCCTGCATGAGGCTTTCGGGGGACATGTAGACACAAGCCATAACAGGGGTCTTTTGGATTGGGAGGGACTACTCAAACTCTTTTGAAAGTTAAGGCAGATGATAATGCAGCAGCTGGGAGAAAGAAGGCTCTAGCTCCATCTTCTTTAAAGGCTGCTAATGTTTGAAACCTGTCAAAAATCCCAGTGTTCACTTGTTGCCCACATAGCCACTTTATTTGCCAGCTTGAACATAGTCATTCTCCCCAGAAGTGACAGATTGAGTGCACTGAGTAGGCTGAATATGTTGCACAAGTAAGCAAGTTTTGTGACCCATCCTGTGTCACTGAAATTTACTGCTAGTGGTAACTTTTTCTAAAAGCAATCTCAAGTGATTCTTGTAATTCAAAAACTCTAGACCGTGATCTACCTTTAGGAAACCATCTCACTTCTGTGTATATAAGATGTGTGTGCTCTGCATCCATCTCCTCACAGAGCTGTACAAGCAGATGAGTTAAGGGCTTGTACTTTAATTACATCCTTCAAACATTAAGTTCAAGTGATGTTTCAGCTTTCAGCATTTTTCTATGACATAATGCATAGACTCACATTCAGGAGTGACCACTTGACTTGAATGTTGAAACTAGAAAGCTGTCTAGTCATGGCAGCTATTGTATGACACAAAATGATCAATTTAATGTTCCTGATACGTAATCATTCAAAGACTTAAATATAGTCCTGCAATTGTGTTGACTGCCAACGAAAGTGCACATGACATATCCTCCTGAAAATATATTGTACAGAAACAACCATTGCTGCCTTGTCAACACTGATAGACTCATCAACCTTGATTGTGTACTATGGTGACTCATTAATCCTCTGCTGTGCCTCAATATCCTCTGCTGTTTCTTCGTTCATCTAGTTATGGGTGCTATTCAATGTGCTACCTTTTGAACTACAGCCTCTCCTGAAAGTTTATAACTGATGTCCATGGCAGCAGCAGGTTCAACACTTCACCAGTAGTAAAGGGCTTCTTAGTTTTTAGCAGTGTGGTTAGTAGTGGCTCAGTGCAGACACATTTGATTAAGTTGTGACCTTCAATAATTGCTTGTTCATGTTCATGGTTTGTTTTTTTTTCTTTGGAAAACTCCAAAGCCTTGTCTTTTAATGCAGGGTGCTTGATCTCCTTGTAGCAAAGCCATTTGAAAGGTTTCATGGGTTTGTTGGATATTAGTTGCTCACACTATAAAAAGTAGGCCTGGAAAATTTCAATCAACTGTTTTAATGAAGCCATAATTTAAGTAGGATCCTTGGTATTTTCTTTTAAATGAAACTTCTTTTGTTGACAGTCTTTGAGTCCTGCTGTCTCACCAAGGGGTCTTTCCTGCTTTTTAACCAGTTAAGTTTACCCTGAGCTCGACTTGGGCAGCATGTTTGTTTACATATTATTCTGAGCATTGCTTAGGCAAGTGTCATTCAACCAGTCAATTCTTGTATTGAATAAATTTCATAAAATTGTCATTTTTCTATTGTTATATTCTTATAAAAATTAATGAAAATATGTGCAATTTTTGGTCATCCTGTATTTAAATAATTGGACTGGTAAGTGGGTAAAAACTCTCCAGTGACATTTGTATTTTACTCACTTTAGCTACGGTTAGCTGATGGGCTTACCAAAACTGTGCCTGAGATGCATGTAATGCCAGAACAAAGTATAGATGGAAGTGGTAAATAAAATAACAGGCAGATCATGTGTGGACTAAAGTGTTGGATTCTGACTTAAAGCCTCCTACCAGATACAGCTGTATAATTACAGTGCATCAACTCACTCACCACTATAAAGCCTGCCACCAGAAGGAGCTTGCCACTTTTGCCTCTCTTTGACAGGGTTTAAGCTATGAGCCTGCAAGGAATTGATTTATTATGATCTGTGTAGTGAGACCTCTCTGCTAATGTTAATCTGTATTTACAGCTGCTCCCCGGTGCTATCATCATTGCCTCAGTCCCACCTCAGATCATCAGGCATTAGATTCTCATAGTGCACAATCTAGATCTCTTACATGCAGTTCACAGTAGGATTTGTGCTCCTATAAGAATTTAATGCCACCACTGATCTGAAAGGAGACAGAACTCAGGTGGTAATGTGAGTAATGGGGAGTGGCTGTAAACACAGACGAAGCTTTGCTCACTTGCCTACTGCTCACCTCCCACTTTGTGGCCCAGTTCCTAACAGGTTTGTAGCCTGGTGGTTGGGGGTCCCTGTTCTAGGTTATCAATTTTATTTTTTGCATATAATCATGTCTTTTACAGTTTTTGTATTTCTGTGGTATCAGTCATATTTTCATTTATGAATTTATTTATTTCAATCTTTTCTTGGTTAATCTACCATGTTTCCTTGAAAATAAGACCTACTTCGAAAATAATCAGCCACAATCACCTTGCCTTACCTGTGATTACAGGTTAGCCAGAGCAAAGAGAACAATGAGATATAATTTTCCGCATGACACCGAAATCATTATGATAATGACCAGCATTTATTTCCCACTTCCTACTTAGGTCTTACTTTCAGGGCAACACAGTAGCTAACCATTTGTCATTTTAATCTCTTCACAACCCAACTCAGTTTTGTTGATCTTTTATGTTGTTTTTCTGGTCTCTACTGCATGTATTTCTGCTCTTTTCTTTCCTGCTAACATTGAGCTTACTGTGTTCATCTTGAGTCATAACACTGTATACTTGTCATCTTTTTCTGATATGGGGGTATAATTATACACTTTAAGAAACACTCTTGCTGTATCCCACAAATTTTTGGTAGTTTTTCCATTTCTGTGTATTTCAAGATATGCTCTAATTTCCCTTTTAACATCTTCATTGATTGGTTGTTCAAGAGCATATGGCATGGTTGCTATGTACAGTTACCTTGGTTCACAAACTTAATTCTTTCCATGATTCTGGTTGCAAAACAAATTGTACAAGAACTGAATCAAAACCAAACTGTTATGAAAACCAAATCAAATTCAATGGTTAGGCTCAATGCTGACCTTATAGGGAAATTTGATTTGGTTCTGTCCAATTTGGTTTGCAACCAGAATTGTGGATTTATGTTCATGAACCAAGTTATCACTTATTTAATTTAATTTAATTTATTTTTGGTATCAGGGATCGAACTCAGGACCTTGCGCTTGCAAGGCAGGTGGCGGAACCACTGAGCTAAATTCCCGACCCAAGATATCACTTATTGATTCCTCTTCTCATACTGTTGATTTAAAAAAATACTTGATATATCACTCTTCTTAAATTTTCTAAGAATCCACTCTTATCAAGTCTGTACAATTCTCACCTGCAGAACTATGAGATAACAAACAGCAAAGCCTGTGGTAATTTGTTAAACAGCAATAAAAAATATAATCATTCCATAACAGAAAGCTATTTTCTTCAAAGACCAAATTCTGCAGTTACAGCAGGATTTTTTACTAACTCACTTACTTATGCAAGCCCTCCATGGCATCTTCCTTTCCTGATTCTGTTCTACTGCATTCCTTTTCAGTGTTCATAGGAAAACTGTCCAGGAAAAAATTTCCACCCAAAATTAATTTTTACATTTGAAAATAAGACAAATTAAGGCCCTAAGCCTTGTAATACTGCCTTTTCATAATAACCCACAATTATAAATAGGAAAAACTCATCTGTGACCAAAAAGGTCGATATCCACACCAGTAAATTCATAAAAATCAAGAAAGTATAATACAAAATACAATCAGATATTAAAATTATGTGCAAACTCTTATTTGAAGTTATGATCTCAATTTGGATAACCATCAAATAAAAATGTATGCTGAGTCAGAAAATTATTTTAATAGTTATAAAATGTTTTTTACAGAATCAGTATAAAATAGCAGTTTGATTATTTCATAATTATCAGAATTACTTAGACATGAGGTCCTGGCTAAGTGGGGCTGAAATCAACAAAAGGTCTTGGACTGTTGGCTCAGATATCATCCTTGGGAAGCCCAGCCTGTTGATGTCTGTCATGCTTAGCTCTGATGAGATGACCCGGTCCTTTAATACAGTATCTCTCTTTATTCATTCTTTGGAGGCTTGAAGTGAATTCGGCAGCGTTCATTAAACACCTAAGATGTTTAAATAGAAACAAAACTCATTGAGTCATCATAAATAGATGAGGCCTGACTCTAAACTCACTTTGTCATATTAGGAGGGTATTATCATTTTTGTTCTGGGTCAACAGATTTAGGAAACAGTTGTTTCTTCACCAGGTCAAATTGACTTACTAGGTGCTAACTGTATAAAAGGTCTTAATCCCCATTCACAAGACAATTTTAATGTTTTTATAAGATTTAAATTATGCAAAGAAAAATCATAAAGAGCCAGTAATTCAGAAATTAACAAATATTTCGGTTTCATATTCTGGACATATTTTGAACTTAAGTTTTAAGATAAGGCTTTTCTCTTTTCTTAAAAATAGATTTTGCTAAGATATTTTATTTTTCTAAACGTGTGCCACATCCTTCTCATAAGTACTTGCTGACTGAGCCAGTCTTTTGCTAAATTGTATGATTTTATATATTTTTTGTTCTGTTTACCTTGCTTCCTAAAAGTCAGAACAAATACCATATCATAAGTGGTAAAAGCATGTTCTATGACTAAATATTTGTCAATATAGGTCTATATTAAGTAAAAACTGTGGTACAGACAGGTGCACTGGTTCACATCTATAATCCTAGTTACTTGGGAGGCTGAGCCAGGAGGATCACAAGTTCAAGTTTCTGCACAACTTAGTTAGATCTTGTCTTATAAAAGCAGGGATATAGCTCTATAGTAGAGTACCCCTGGACTCCATCCCCAGAATTGCAAATACATACAGTACATACATACTACATATATACACATTTTGGTACAGTTATTCAATGAAATAAAATGCTTTAAAAAAGTTATATTCTGATTGGAAAGGATTTCCAAGCCACATTAAGGGCAAAAAACAAAGTGCTGACACTTCTGTTTGTATAGCAAGGTGGGGTGTGGGGGGGGATATATACATATATAACATTATAAAAGGTGCAAATATATGAAAGAATATATTATACTTGCAGAGGGAAGGAGGTGGTTAAAGGAGAGGGGTGAGAGGCAGAAATTTTACTGTGTATCTTTTAATATTTAAAAACCTTTTAAGAAAAAAATTTGAACCATGTGTCTAAAAATTTTGTGTCCAATTTTTTTAAAAATCTAAAAGAATTTGCAAGAACTTATCACACACATCACTAATGCTAAGAAAAATCATTTTTAAGATTCAAAAAATTTCTCATGTTGGGGGTTGCTGAGTGTCACATTAGAAAAATCTACACAAAGGAGCTTCTAAGCACTAACTGGTATTATTCAAGTTCTTAAGTAGATACATAAATGCATCTTTTATTAATATTCTTTAAACTCTACATTATACCCTTTTTGGCATGTGTCTCATAGTTAAAAGAAAACATGTAAAAATTATGTAATGCTTTCTGGCTGTTTCATTTTATAACTGTTATCTCACATTTTCCTTTTTTTTTTTTTGCACCAGGGATCGAACTCGGGACCTTGCACTTGCAAGGCAGGTGCTGGAACCACTGAGCTAAATCCCCGGGCCACATTTTCCTCTTTTTAAAACAAGACTTCACTTCCTGTGTAGGGGACCGAACCTACCCTCTTTAAAATTACAAAGGGTCCCTTGACTTACAATGGTTTGACCTAGGATTTTTCAACTTTGTGATGGTATGAAAGCAATATTCATTTAGAAAAAGCCGTACTTAATATTTTGATCTTTTCCTGGGCTAGCAATATGCAGTGACCAACCATAGTCTAATGTAAGTTTTCTGAGAACATTTAAGGTAGGTAGGCTTAGGCTAAGATACGTTGTCTGGTAGGTCAGTTATATTAAATGCACTTTCAACTAAGGATATTTTCAATGTACCATAGGTTTCATTGGGATGTAAATCCATTTTAAACTGAAGAACAACTGAGGTGTCAAATCCAAACATGCTTCACTCTTCCAACTACATTTTACACGTATCACTATCCTCTGTGCTAGGCTCTACAAACCAAATGTTCACTGTGCCCTTTTGCCGATCCCATTCCAAGACTAAGTATTACTCTTCCAGAGAACAGAAATGGACAAATGTCAAAAATCTTTCAAGCAGACACACCTTACCATGTTGGTAGAAAGGCCAGGTATAGGAAATTTTAGAAGAGGATAAGGAAATCTGATAAAGCAAATTGGATTTGACACAATTTATTCATGGCTCAGCACACTGTTCTCTTCTAGCGTTTTGGTTTTTGTTTTTCATGACTGATGTAATTATTTAATGACACAGGAAATAAGCTGGCAACAAGTAGTAGAGGATAACTTCCTTTCTGATTAAAAAAATTTAAAAATAGGGGCCAGGTATTTAGCTCAGTGGTGCCGCCGCCTGCCTCACAAGCACAAGGTCCCAAGTTTGATCCTAGGTACCAAAAAAAAAATTAAAAATATGAGCATGCATACAAAAAACGAGATTATATACCAAAATTTCAACAGTATTACCTCTGGTTAGTGATTAGATATTTCCTCCTTTGCTTTTGTGTGTGTGTAAAATATGATTATTTCTGCAATAAACAAAAGGCACTGAAGAGAAAAAGAGTTACGGAATGCCAGAGTTAGAAATATAAGAAGTCAACCCTGATGCCCAACAGTCAGATTCTGAAACCCAAGAGACACAGCAGGGAGACAGAAGTCAGGTCAAGCACATGTTCCTTTATTTTCTTACTGGAACACTACTTACCCAGCATTTCCCCTACATTTGATGTTCTCTGAGTAATTCCATTTAATGGGACTGTAGGAATATGAACTGGCACAACAGCAAAACAATGCTAGCAATTTCAGTTCTTTTTTTTTTTTGGTACCGGGGATTGAACTCGGGTCCTTGTGCTTGCGCAGCAGGCGGCAAAACCACTGAGCTAAATCCCCAGTCCTGCAATTTTAGTTCTGAAACTTTAGTTCTGAATTCTAGTTTTGGGTTGCTGACTTCTGGAGTTTAATACAATTCCATGAGTTAATTTCAAAGAAAAAAACACAATTTTAACTCTTCAGATTTGACAGATTTTGCCTTTCAGGAATCTTTTATATTTGAAGATTTTAAGAAGTTCTGGAGGGAAAAAATGAATATACCTTTTGAGAAAACCAAAGTAAATTAAAGTGAAAATGCTGTCATTTTTGCCTGTATGTAAAGTCCTGGGATCTGGTTCTCCAAGCTGGTTCCTAGTCAGAGCCACTCAGGTGGTAATAAGTGCATAGGAATCTCTGCGCAGCTCTATTACTAGATGCAAGCAAAGCTACATAAAGTTTCATGATCAGATATGTTAGAGGAAACTAACAGCATAGTTAGTGATACAAAAACTATGGGAAGTTAACTATGCATGAAAGGTTAATTTTATTTTATTTTATTTTTTTGATACCAAGGATTGACCTTGGGACCTTGCGCTTGCAAGGCAGGCAGCGACACCACTGAGCTAAATCCCTGGCCCCCACAAAAGGCTAATTTTAACAAAAAATCTCTTTGAAGGTTCTCAGCTAACTAGAGATAAAACTCCAGTACTACAAACAATGTACCAATAAAAGTAAAACATTTTTACATGTGAATTGTCTTCAATTCTATTACCATGGCAGGTCACAGAATTCTACTGTATATCTGTAAAGCTAACTTTGATACAATGGGTCTAGGTTGGGTGAAGAGCACTCTACTACCACCACCCAAACACGTGGAAGCCCTCAGCTGCTTGTCAGCAATGATCTCTGTCGTCCTCAGAGCCTCCCTGTACTCTTTCTGCCCTTCCCTTAGTGGCCCTGTGCTGGTTCAGTTGACCTCCTACTTCTCTCCAAGAACAGTATTATTTTATACCTTCCAGCTCCTGTCATTTACCACTTCTTCAACATTCAGTTCTGACTGCATCCATTTCAACTGCAAGAAAAGGAAAAAAAAAATCAAAGTTATGAAATGTAAAGAGCTAAAACAAAACTCTGCTATATCTTCCCAGCAAAACCAGCTGCAGCTCTTGTATCTTAGACTGTTAACACCGGATAGATCTCTCTAGATCTAATCAAATGTTAAATCTTATACTATAGTGGTTCTCAAACTTTCTTGATCATAACTACCTTGAGAGCTCTTTTTAAAAAAAAAAAAATCTCACTATCCAAAGCAGTTCAGAGAAGATATATAAATGGCCAATAAATATTTATTTTATGGTGCTTGGGATGCAACCCAGGTACTTTCACATACTGGCCACTAAGCAAAATCTCTAGGCCTAAACATGTGTGTGCATGTGTGTGTGTGCGTCTGTGTGTGCATGTGCATGTGCAGTGGTACTGAAAATTGAACCTAGGGCTTTTACACTGAGCTACAGTCCCAATCCTTTTTAATTTTTGAGACAGGGTTTTGCTAAATTGCCCCAGACTAGGCTCCAACCTGAACTTTGTGATCCTCCTGCCTCACCTTCCTGGAGTGCTGGGATAATAGGTTTATGCCATCCCACCTGGCTTTTTTTTTTTTTTTAATCCAATCTTATTCAAGTATAAAGAAATACAAATTGGGTGTGGTGACACAGCACGCCTATAATCCTTGCATTCTGGGAGGCTGAGGCAGAAGGATCATAAGCTCGAGCCTAGCCTGGACAACTTAGGGAGTTCCTGTCAGAAAGAAAGAGGTGAAGAAGAAGGGAGGTAGAGAGAAAGAGAGGGAAATTAAGTCATAAAATGATGAAATGGGGAAAAACGCATAAAAAATTCTAATAAAACCTAGTAACAGCAAGTATGTGGGAAAAGATAAACTCATATGGTTGTTTGATTAACTGATTGAATGAATGATTGATTGTGGTACTGGGGATTGAACCCAGGGTCTTCACACCGCACTCTCAGTCCTTTTTAAATTTTGAGTCATTTGACCTGGCTATTCCTCTGCTGGGTATCTTCCCAAAAGAATTAAAAGAATCATATCACAGCGATATATGTGTACCCCTGTTTCTAGCAGCACAGTTTGTAATAACTAAAGCTTGGAAACAGCCCAAGTGCCCATCAACTGGAGACTGGATAAAGAAGATGTGGGTTTTTTTTTATAAAATGGAGTAGTACTCAGCCATAAAGAATGAGAAATTAGAGACATTTATAGCTAAATGAATGCACATTGAGGACATACTCTTAAGTGCAATAAATACGACACACGTGTAAATACTTTCCGTTTCTCTGGTATGAGAAATTGAAAGTGTAAATAAGGATTAAAATGAATAATTGATAATGTGAAACAGGAAGAAAAGGTCCAAAGGGGTAGGGGAAGTGGGAGGGGTAGGGGAAAGGAAAAAACATGAGATAAGAAATAAATGGAAAAAAAGCCTTTGCAAACAGGGAAGGGTGGAGGGGTTGAAGGGAAGGCAGGGAAATGAGAAAAAATAAGAACCACCAAGATACATCATGTAAAGGTACAAGTTCCCAATGATGAATGTAAATGTACTGTATATCTAAAATGTACCAAAAAAAGAATTTAAGAGAAAGAATAAATAAATGAATGAGTGAATGAATTAATTAATTAATTGTGAGACAGGGTCATGCTCGGTTGCCCAGGGTGGGCTTGAACTTTTGATTCTCCTGCCTCAGCCTCCCATGATGCTGGAATTATAGGCATGTGCCACCATGCCCGGCTTCACATTTCTAGCAGGAATATGAACTGTTGCAGTTTCTGTGGAGGATCACTTAGACTTATCAAGAATGTACATCCACATGTCCCTGAACCCAACAATTTTAGCGCTATAAATTAATTACATAACTACAGATTTGCAAAGATGGCAAAGAGGCTGACTTGGATAGAGAATTTTTTAAAAAAAGAATCTGAAAGGAAAATAAAGAAGGATGAAAAGGGATGCCTAATTAATCTAGAAAGGTATGATTTCCCACACTGACCACACAGCCAGAGGTCTGAGACTAAAATGGTAAATCTAACTTTCCTAACTGCCACGCTAGAAAAGCTGCCAATAAATTGCAGGCCTAGACAGCAGGATCCACAATATTCCTACTCACATCTGATGAGAGGGACTTGAAAAGAAAGAAGCTAGTTAGTTCTAGGAAGAGGTTATGAAAATATTCAGGAAAATTAGGAAGAAAAAAGAATGAACTACAGGTTGAGACTGCCAAGAGTCTAAAACCAGGATGATTTCCCCAGACCAAAATCAAGAACCCAGGCCAGATTCAGGAAGATAATGCCAAAGCTAGACAAGACCTGGCAACCACGAGTCTGATACACAGGCCAGAGATACAGTCCAATTAGGAATATAGCTTGGGCATAAGGTTTGGGAAATCTGCATGCAACAGTAACAAGAAGATAAACTGGGCTCCTGTAAACCTCCTAGACTCTGAACTACCATCAAAACACGGGCAGTACATATAAAGGGAAGGGCTGTTTTTCTGACAGCAAGTCCTGTGCTGTGTCATAGTATCAAGGCTGAAGAAGCCGCTTAACAACCTGTTTCAGATATTAAAAAACCATACAGACAGAATCGTTAAAGCTTCTGTTTGACTACTCTATCAAAGCCTGAATTGACTTCCAAAGAAATAATTTCAAAAAAGGGAAAGAAAAGAACAACTTCAGTGGAAGTACACACTGTGATAAAATGCCACTAAGACAGTCTTCATAACTGCTCTTAACTATTTAAAGGGATTTTGTGTAGAAAAGGGCTTATATAGTAAAACTCCAGGGGGCTTAGACTGTAAAATCCTAAAGGGCTTGCTTAGACTGCATAACTCCAGAGGAAAGATTAAGAAGTAGCATTTACATATTACAGGGAAACAAGTTTTTGCAATTTATAAGAATGTCTTTGAATCAGTAGAACTGTCCAAAAAGAAAGCACTGACACAGAAGAGAATGAGTCTTCTGCCTTCCTGCCCCTTAGGTAGTAACTAAAGAAAAGACAGAAACCACTGACTGGTGGTATGGGTTGTATTTAGATGTCCCCTCAAAGCCTTATAAAGTGTGATACTACATAAGGTGGGGCTTTTCAGAGGTGGCTGGGATCCAGGGTATGTGATGCTGGGATTAAGGGTGTGTGGTTACTAAATTAGTCCACTGGTTGGTTTGGGATAGTTCTGGGTGTGGATAATGGGAAGACCTGGGTCTGGGAAGTACCACCCAAAGGATGGGTAGCCTGGAAGGGATAAAAGGGAGAGGCAGATTGCTGATGCTGTTTCTTTGCTACTTCGATAGTTTGCTGCCTTCTGCCCACCATGGACTGTTTCTCCTCTGTAATGCCCATCTGCCATGCCACCCTGCCTTGGAGCCAGCTGACTGTGGACTGAAACCTCTATGAACTGAGAGTCAAAAAACCCCTTCCTCCTTTAACTTTGGATGTTGGGTATTTTATCTCAATAACAAGAAAAGTAACTAAGACAGTTGGTGATCTGATAAAGAGAATTAATGCAACAAACACAGAGTCCCTTAGACTCAAAAAGGAAAGAAAAGAAACTGCTTTGTGCCAGCTAATATGCTATTCTTATATATACAATTTAATCTTCACCAAAATGAAAACTAAGAAGTTATATCTACCCCATTTTATAGACTGGAACCTAAAGTTTCAAACAATTAATTTACCAGGTTGCAAAGCCACCAAGGTAGATGGGATTTATTTCCTCTGAGCTTTACAATCCATTTTTCTATTTAGAACACTGCAAATATTGTAGCCAATGTATAATAAAATTGAATTAGCGCCACCAACAAACTGTCACCTCTGAGATGGTTGTTTTTGAGGCTCCAGGTATTAAACAGGTAACCTCCCCCTGAAAGGCCTGTAACAGGTGACAGGAGTTAAGAGCTCCAGCAAAAGGGCCAGAGATTTTAGCGCAGTGGTACCATGCCTGACTCGCAATTCCAAGGTCCTTAGTTCAATCTCCAGTACAAAAAAAAAAAAGTTCCAGGGAGGAAGGTGCTTTTTCCATACTATGAATTCAGGTAGAGAATGGAAGCTTTTAGGCTGGCATCTCTGTGTAAAAATAAAACAGATTGACTAAAGTTTTCAGAGTTTGACCATTAGCTACAATTTCATGTAAAGTAATTGACTGAATTCAGTGTTGGAAGAGATGGATTAAAGTCTCAGCTCTACCAGTTAAGAGTTTGTGACTCTGGGATGCCAGTTCGTGTCTCTGAGTCTGTTTCTTCGGGGAGAAAATGAAGATACAGAGATGGAACATCTCTAAGATCTTTCTTTCTAATTCTATTATCTTCATAGCAAACTTGGAAAAAAAAATGTTTCCTTATTTACTTATGTACCACTTGTGGTTGTCCTCTAGTCCTATGCATTACCAAGCTAGAAAGCAAACCTCACAATGACTCACTGCATGCTTTCCAAACCCCTCCGTGTAGGTGTCATCCTGTTGATTCTTTCCCAGCCCTAAAGGCAAAGAGGCAGATCCAAGGGCTGACCAAACTGTGGGACACAATCACTCCCAAACATTCACTGGTTGAGATTTTGAACTTTGCTCTCCACTAACAAAATCATGCTACTCTGACTTAATTTGCAAATAGTGGTTTTTCAGTTTCTGATTTAACAGCCTAGTCCTGCAGTTTCCTTCATCAACACCTTCAAGAAATACAAAACTCAAAGTTGTCTAGACTTTGACAAGTTTTACATGAATAATATATAGGCCTTCAAGCACACTGTAAGGCAAGATGAAAATGACAGTTTAAGTTCACCATCTGAGGAACCTTCCACCGTTTGATGAATAAGCAAGTATGGAATACAGACCTGAAGCAACAGTCATGAACAAAGAGAGCAACACATACATTAGCTGAAGCCTGTGTCTAGGGAGACACACTGAACTGGTGGATGACTGAGAAGGAACAGGAGCCTGGCCTACCTATCTGTAGGCAGACACAGGAACAGGGCTTCTCTAAGCAAAGGGCAAATTTCACAATTGCTCAGTATGAAAAGTGTGCTTCCATTCCACACTGGATGCTGTCACTTGACACATAAAAATCCTTAATCACCCATTGCTGTGCCATCCTCAAATACAGACAAGATTTTTCATAACTGAACACTGGCCGTGTAAGAAAAAGTCCCTGTTCTTAGGAAATAACAAGTGTATTTAAGGGTAAAGGAGTACAATATGTTCAGTATGCTTTCAAAATTGTTCAGGAAAAGAATACGTTTATGTGTGTAGAGAGAGGGGAAGACAGAAAGCAGGGGAAGGTGAGGTGGAGGGAAGTAGGGAAGGTGAAGTGAATGAACTGTAAACCAGGTGAGACAAAATGTAAGCAAAAAGGGAATACAGGAAAAGGGTACATGGGAGTTCCTTACACTGTTCTTGCAAATTTTCTGCAAGTTTGAAATTACACAAAAGTTGTATCTAAGAGTCCTCTCTCTCTCTCTCTCTCTCTCTCTCACACACACACACACACACACACAAATATAGCAGTGCTTTTCACACAGTAAAATACAGTTGGCCTGTGTGTCTACAGGTTCCACATGCATGGACTCAAAACAACTGGAGATCAAAAACATTTTGGGAGAAAAAACTACTGCAAGGATATAGACTTTTTCTTATTATTTCCTCAACAATACAGTATAATAATGACTTAAATGGCATTTATACTGTATTAGGTATTATAAGTAATGTATAGGTGATTTAAGGTATAAGGGAGGACATGCAAAGCTATGCCATGTTATATAAAGAACTTGAATATCTGTGGGTTTTGATATCCCTGGTGGCTGGTGGGTGGGTTCCTGGTGACTGCTATGTATCACAACTCTTTTATTGACATGTCACACACAAAAGGCTATAGAGAAACAGTTCTCCTAGATTGACTGTACTCTGAGGTCCACATCATATCTACATTTATGGGTAATGAGAAAATAAGCCTTCATCTTACATATCTCTAGGTAAGTACATGCTATTTTCTTAAAAGTGAAAACACTGCAGGGATGTTGAATAAAGTAGAAAAAAGATAGTTTAAAAAAAGAGTCCAAGATCTATAACTGCCTCTATACACAAGGGATATAAATTGTATATAATAAGGTACTAATATATCTAACTACATTTAAATACTGTATTTTTATGGCTGAAGAGGGGAATATCCTGAAGTTAAATAATCTGTATTATATTTCAACAGATTTCTATAGGATGACATCAGAAATAACTATTTTCAATATATAACCACATTCAGAAATATTTCAGCAGGGCAGAGCAGCACATGCCTATAATCCCAGTTACTTCCCAGGAGGCAGAAGTAGAAGGATTCTAAGTTCTAGGCCAGCGTGAGCAATTTAGCAAGAGTGTGTCTCAATATAAATTGTAGTTTTTTGAGAAATCTTTACACTGATTTCTATAGTGGTTATACTAGTTTACATTCCCATCAACAATGCAGAAAGGTTTCTTTTCCCTCACATCCTTGCCAGCATTTGTTGTGTGTGTGTGTGTTCTTGATAATACCCATTCTGACCAGGGTAAGATAGAATCTTAAGAGTTTCTGATTTGTATTTCCCTAATGGCTAAAGATGATGAACATTTTTTCATGTACTTACACGATCAAAATATGCTCTATCTGCTCAGTGTGACAGTGTACACCTCTAATCCCAGCATTCACAAGGCTGAGGCAGGAGAACTGCTGTGAGTTTGAGGCTAGCCTGAACTACATAGTGAGGTCTGGTCTCAAAAAAGCAAAGGTCCTGGGTTCAATCCCAGCACTCAGGGGGAAAATGCTATCTCCATGTAACAGTCCTTAACTATCATAATACATTGGAAATGTACATTAATTTTTTTTTTCAAAGGTCTGGAGGGGCTGGGAATTTAGTTCAGTGGTTTGGCCACCTGCCTCGAAAGTGCAAGGTCCTGAGTTCAATCCCCAGTACCAATAAATAAATAAATAAATAAATAAAAGGTCTGGAGGTGGAGCTCAGTGGTACAGCATTTATATAGCATATATAAGACCCTAGGTTCAAACCCCAGTAAGAAGAAGGGGAGGGAGAGAGGGAAAAGATTCTTCTCAAGTTAAGTCCCAAAAAATAGATACACATGTGATTTCTTCAGAGTTTCTGATGTGGTGGTTGTTTGTACTGATCCTTTTATCTTTAACAGTGAGGAAAAAATAAATGAATGGAAATAAAATATGAACACATGCCTATTTTGCTTAAAGCTGCTATAATGTATATGTTCACAAAATGCCATCAACTTACCAACTAATATCTAAATGTAATAAAAAAAAAAGCTCACTAAAACTGAAGCACTAATCTCCTGGTCATTGTTTTTTTAAGTAATAACATATCTTACTCTAAATCACACATATTAAAACTACCTTTGGTGGGCCAGGGATTTAGCTCAGTGGTTCTGCTGCTTGCCTGGCAAGCGCAAGGTCCCGAGTTCAATCCCTGGTACAAAATAAATTAAATAAATAATTAATTAATAATTAATAAATAGAAATAATAATAATAAATAAATAAATAAAATATAAAACTACCTTTCGGGCCAGGGATGTAACTCAGTGATGCTGGGCCTGCCTGGCAAGCACAAGGTCCTAAGTTCGACATCTAGTACCAAAAAAAAAAAGAGTTTATAAAAATACCTTTATTTATTTTTGTACTTATTTTTGCAGTACTGGGGTCAAAACCCAGGACCTCACACATGCTAGGCAAGTGCTCTGCCACTGAGCTACATTCCTAGGCCTTTATTAAAATTCTGAGATGGGGGCTTGGTAAATTACCCAGGCTGGCCTTGTGATTATCCTGTGATTATCCTGCCTCAGCCTCCTGAGTAGCTGGGATTACAGGCATGCACCACCATGCTGGGCTAAAAAAAAAACTATTTTGAAGGCTAAATTTGAAAAACCTTTGCCTGAGAAATGTAAATTGTTTGACTTACCTTTGTCTGCTCTTTTCTAAGTTGCTTTAATAACGTTAAATCATCCAAATTCTTTTCTCTCTCTTCTCGTAGGTTTTTTACTACTGCTGAGGTCTGGGCTATACAATTTTTTATGACTCTGTCTCTACTAGCATGAGCTGCCGTCAACTGAAAGAACAAAGGAATGAAAGGAGGGGGAAATCAAATCAATTTATCACATTTCATTGTTAAAAAATCCTTATTTTAAGACTTCCGAAATTTAATACTTCTAAACAATTTTTAAAAACTGAATTCATGGAAGACTGTGTTGAATCAGAAAAATTTCCTTGAAACAAGATGGAAAGGAGCACCATGGAGGGTGGAGGTAGGAGGCCTGAGCTGTCTGTTCCTCATTATGTCCCCAGTACTTCCTGCTCCTCTCCTGCAGTGTCTTGCTGGGCTTTTCATTTCAGTCTCCTCCTGTGTTTGTCACTCCCTACTACTCCATCAATTTGTCCACCCTACGTAGATCCACCCTCTGGGCCACTGTTATTTTTCTTTTTTTTTTTTTTTGGTCTCATGTTGTCAAAAAGGGGAAGATAGTATAAACTAAGTGATGTAGAGAAGGTCTTAGCTAGAATAAATGAAGAATGGTACATCTGCCTACCTAAGATGGGAGCCCTTTTCAGGACTGTAACATGTAGCGGTTGATACCAGCAACTTATATACAAAGGACAGATTAGCGGTGGCATCAGTCATGCATTGGCTAAAAGTATGGAAGAGCTCTGTAATAAGCTCCCTCTCAGTGTAATAAACAGTCCTCATTTATTTTCTGTACAGCTTGATTAGCAAGGTACAATGGTCATGTTTTGGGGGCGTTTTCTTGGTACCGGGGATCGAACCTGGGACCTTGTGAGACAGGTGGCAGAACCACAGAGCTAAATTCCCGGCCCTCAGTGGTCATGTTGTAAGCACATTCCTACAAGCATAGCCAAATTTTGATGACACTCTAAGCATTTGCATTTGTAAAGAACTCTTTCAAATTCATAGACTTTTTATGGTCAGTAATTATTTTTGTTTATCTTTGGAATAAAGAATGTAATGCTAAGGTTGAAGGGTGTGTGCTTAATAAAGGGGACCTCATTGAAACTATTTTGTCGGGAGCAATGCTACATAATTTTAGGGAAAAATCATTTGGTTAGCCTAGTTCTCCCGCCTACAACCCAGCTATGGAATTCCGAGACATAATTGTATTTTGGCCTCCAGTCACAACTGAGACCTCAATGATCTGGTGATGCTCTCTGTGATTCTCCAGGACAAGAAACATACTGGGAGCTGAAAACATCCTGGGAGGAACAAACATCTACTCAGTTTCTCCTTGTTCTTGGATTGTTACATCTTATTTACGCAGGATATACTGAACTCTCTGCAAGTCATTTGTTACATTTGTTTCTCCCGATGTACTGAGTACTGAATAAAAGGTGCGATAAGTTGGGCGCTTTTGTCTTTGCCTCCCAGAGCAGTACTGACCACACCCAAAACTGGTCAGCTTCTTCTCAGTCTCACTTTTCTACCTTTCCTGTAATTCGCCGTGTGCTGCCGTGGCTTGCAGGAGACTAGGACTTACTGCAGAGGTTCTAGTAACGTCCCCTTTCCTTGTTCCTACACTATTTTACTTTTACTATGAGTATTCTTTTGAGATTTGAAACTTCTAAAACTCATGGTTCAGAATAACTTTACATCTCTCTGAAGAAAAGTTATCATTAGGGAATGGAAATATCTTCATTAGCTACAGAAGGAGGTTGGTTCAGGAACTAAAGTAACTCAGGTGGACTATTAAACAACTTGAACACTTCACAGACTTCTCAACGGAGACTATGTAAGAATATATAGCACTTTATGCATATTAGTTAGCTTAATTCACTAATAACCCTATGAACTAGGTACTATATTTCACAGTAAGGAAACTGAGGCAAAGAGAGGTTATATAACATATTCAAAGTTACCCAGCTAGGAAATAGCAGAGGTGAGATCTACTGTAGATCTGAATCCATGTTGTTAATCATGATACTATACATGTAGGTTAATAGAAAGATTGTAAATTAAACAACTGAAAAGTATAGATTACATAGGTAGTGTGGTAAGAGAGGGTATTACAATGTGACCATAAATTTCTAGTTCTTTAATCAGAGATACCCAAAGAAACTAAACTATCAAACACCTTCATAGTGCATTAGGACTAGGACCTCTCCTCCTGATTACTGCATTCTACTCAGGAAGGTCCACACCTTGCCATGATCTAAAACCACAAGACTTATACGATCACTCAAGAAAATGACATATTTTAATACAAGAGGAAAACAAAACTACAGCAGTTAATGCTCTAATTTGATATAAAATAATCTTGTCCAAAACTATTTTTTTCACATTTGAGAAACGCATTTTAGATTTTATACATATTTTCGATAATATGATTATGAATCCAAATAGTAATCTTGTGGTGGTACAGCTCAAAATATCAAGTGTCATTTGAACTTTAGCTTTCAACTCACTGAAAGGGTATAAGTAAGCAAGCGATGAAAAATACAGGAATAATTATTTCCTTCTGCTTTTGGACATTAAAAAAAGAAATAAAGGAGGCAACAAAAGATATGTATTTGAGAAACCAAAGCCTCAGGAAATGACAAGTTTTCTGTGGTTTTCCTTCTCTCCCATTTGCCATACACTTCTATTCCCCTTCCTGATGAGAGAAGGAAAAAAAGAAGAGATAATAGGTATGAAGGGCTTTAACTATTCCTTATATCAGCTGTCTGGCTTCTTACGACTGATTCATTCAACATCCTTGCTCTTGGTACTGTTTACTGTTTTGCTCTCTCCCTCATTTCTCTTAAGTTAAAGGCTGCAAATGAAGAGACCAAAAAAATGACTGCTCCATTCTTTAGAACCATTTCTTCACAGATTTGGGCATAAGATCATACATCAATTTAGTTTGTAAAAACTAGATCAAAATTTTTTATATAGTCTCAGGTGTGGGCAAGAAAACATGAAAATGGCATTCATTCTTCACAGTGTAGACACATGTGAATGGATCTGTTTTGCCTGCAAAGAAAGGTACAAAGAGGCCGGGGATTTAGCTTAGCGGTTTCACCGCCTGCTGCGCAAGCGCAAGGACCCAAGTTCAATCCCCAGTACCAAAAAAAAAAAGAAAGGCACAAAGAAGCACAAAAGAGAGACTGAAAAGATACACTTACAGACTCATAAAGTTGTTTACAGGTTTGGCTGGCATCAATTTTCCCTGCAAAGGAAGCTGTTGGAACCGTAGTGTTTAATTCATGGACTATTCTGTCATCAATTGTCCTCATCACCTTGAGTAATTCCTATATTTAAAATAAAAGAATATAACCTGAATGGAAAGTTAAGTGATAGAAATTTATTATGTAAGCAAAAAATAAACATTTGGATATTTTACAATTCTTTAATACAGGAGTGGGGAAAATGAAGGTAAATATAGTGTAATCATAAGAAAATATCTATTACAGGGATGAAGGGCAGGTTATGTAATTCTAATAGTGGACACTGAGTCTGTCTCCTTGGCTCAACTCTGGTCATCTCAGGGGCTAAGACTATTTTACTCATATTTAAGTTCCATTTGTTAGCATGGTGCTTAGCAAACAGCATATGTCTCTCCAACTCAGTACATAGCCAGAAAAGGGTTCTCCTGAACTCAAGCACCGTGCATTCTCCAAAACAACCAGAATAACTGCTTGCTCTATTCCCTCTATACCTCTCATTGTAAATCATAGTACTACAGAGAATATTTCTGGAAAAATATACAAGAAATCATCAGTAGTAAACTCACTGAAATTAAACTACACTTTAGGCTTTTTACTATGTACATTATGTTATACAAATAAGTAATACGAAACATGCTGTTAGAGAAAAAATAAGATTGTCTTATTAATAGAACTAGGAATTAGTTTTACCTTTTCTTAAGTAACCCCAGCTCACATTTCCCAAGCTCCCCCTACCCCCAGGTTTTCAATTTCTCCTAGCCTGGCTCAATGGCTCAAACCTGTAATCCCAGCTACTCAGGAGGCTGAGGCAGTAAGATCACAAATTAGAGGTCAGCCTGGGTAATTTAGCAAAGTCCTATCTCAAAACTAAAATTTTTTTTAAAAAGGGTTGGGAATGTAGCTCATTGTGAAGACCCTGGATTCAATCCCCAATACCAATAACATCAAAAAAAAAAAAAAGCCTCCAATCTCAAATAAACAACCAAAAGGAAAATAGTACCAAAAGAGCAGGGAACTTCAAGATTGCTGTGTATTACCTGCACAGCATAGTCTCTTCTCCCATCATTTCTGTGACAAGGGCACTTCTTTACACTTGGCACCAGACAAAGGCTGGGCCTCAGCTACATTCTGTCTGCAGTTTACATAAATTCTTGAATAAGTTTCTAACAGTATACCCTTCTCTTTTTATTGTTTAAGCTTATAATAAAAAAGAAATAAAACAAAATCTCCAAAACTATGACCACTGCAAACTCACCAAGAAAACAGAATTATATAATATTAGGAATATAATTATTGTTGAAAACATCCAGCTTAACATTCAATATTAATATGTATTAAAACTTTGCTTGGGGCCAGGGATTTAGCTCAGTGTTGCCACCACCTGCCTCGCAAGCTAAAGGTCCCAAGTTAGATTCCTGGTACCAAAACCAAAAACACTTTGTCTAACTCCAACATGCCATCCTATTTCTTTCCTTTGTCCAATTTAAATCCATGACTGAAACCAACTTTCTTTCCTCATCCATTTGTTAAAACTTGTGATTAAAGGATTACTTTCATTTAGAAAATTAAAGAAATTTTAAAATAAAAAATCACCTTGAGACAGTAATGTTAAGTGAAATAAATGAGACACACAAACTTAAATATTGCATGGTTTCGCTTATATGAGAAATCCAAAGTACAAATAATTTAAAGAACAAAATAAAAGATAAATAGTAGGAAACAGAGATAGATCTTTTGTAAATGGAAAGGGGACTAAGACATAGAGGGGAAAGGTTAAGTAAAAAGAATTAAGACATGTTATATGTACCAACTCACAACAAATGTAATCATTATATACTGTAAAATGTACTAAATTTTTAAATTAAAAATTAAAATTAAAAATTTTTTAAATCACCCAAAGTTAACTATTATCAATATTTTAACAGTTCTATTTAGTCTTTTTGCTACACATATCTATGAATATTTTTATAAAATTGAGGTATTGTGTAACATTTTAAAGGTTTACTTTATGACATTACACCATGGATATTTTGTCTCATTATTAAAAATACCTTGAAATATCCGGGCTTGATAGCTCACATCTGTAATCCCAGCACTCAGTTGTCTGAGGCTGGAAAATCACCGAAAATTCAAGGCCAGCCTCAACTATACAGTGAGCCCCTGTCTCAAAAACATTTTTTTAAAATGCCTTGAAAACTCTGTTTTGCAGAGCTGGGAATCAAACCAAGAGATTCACAAATGCTAGGAAAGTGCTGTACTATTGAATTCAGCCCCCTTACATACATTTTATTTTTCGGTACCGGGGATCGAACTCAGGACCTTGTGCAAGCAAGGCAGGCATGGCGCCACTGAGCTAAATCCCTGGCCATACATTTTTAATAGTTACATAAATATTCTATCCTGTCTGAAGGTACCATAGTGTTTCCAATTAAAATAACCAGTTACTGAATTTAATCTAACTTCTATTCCTATCATTCTATTAATCTTTAGTTAAATTTAATAGCTTTTCTGAGATCTCAATTCCAGAAACAAAACAGCTGGTAGAAGGCCCATAATTGAGGCTAATAAAACACAGCAAATGAAAGGTCTAACACCATGTTCATTATCTTCTTTCTTCTTCCTGTATCTTTCTGTCAATAGCACAGTATTCCCTATATTCTTAGGGGATAATCTCAATATATTCACTGAGCTACCATCATTTCAAATAGTACTAAGTTTTATACAGTAGAGGATATATAATGTCCAGTAAGTGATAAATTCCAAACAAATGACAGCAGTGCTTACACAGTAAAAAGAAAAATAAAGTTGGGTGTGGCAACATGTGTCTGTAATCCCAGCTACTTAGGAAGCTGAGATAGAAGAATAAAGTTCGAGGACATTGTGGGCAACTTTAATGAGACCCTGGCAATAAAAAAATTAAAAGCCCTGGGGACATAGTTCAGCGCTAGGCCCCAGGTTCAATTTCCAGTAGCATACCCTAAATTTTAAAAAATGACAGTTTGGGACCACCTTGCCAACTTTATCTCCTACAACTTGCCCACTAAAAAACAAAACAAAAACAAACCTCTTTTAAAAATTTATTTGGGGGCTGGGGATTTACTCAGTGGCACTGCACCTGTCTGGCAAGCGCAAGGTCCTGAGTTTGATTCCTGGTACAAAAAAAATTTATTTTAAAACCTTTTCCTCTATATACATTGAACAGGTCTTCTGAGGCTAAGGTTTCATTGTACCTTCTGAATAAAATTTTCCTTGGGCTGGGGATGATGGCACATGACTTGTAATGCCAGGACTCTGGGAGGCTAAGGTGAGAGGATTGTGAATTCAAACCCAGCCCAGGCAATTTAGTGACTTAGCAAGACCCTGTCTCAAAATAAAAAAGGCTTGTGCATGTAGCTTATTAGGAAGGCCCTGGGTTCAGTCGCTAGTAACACACATACTACATGAAAACAAAACATTTTCCTTGGCTGTGAAAGTCCTCAGCAATCTTCTGGGGTTTTTAATTATTATTCAATAAGTTTACTGATACATTTTAGGTATACAATATGATGACAATCATCATTGGGATCCTGTACCTTTACATGATGTATCTTGGTTCTTATTTTTTTCCCCATTCCCCTGCCTTCCCTTCAACCCCTCCACTCTTCCCTATTTACAAAGGCTTTGTTTCCATTTATTCCTTTCCCTTCTTTCCTTTCCCCTACTCCTCACCTGTCCCCTTCCCCTTTGGACCTTTTCTTCCTATTTCAACTTATCTATTATACTTTTTTATCCTTATTTACACTTTCAGTTTCTCACACCAGAGAAATTATTCAGTATTTACACAAGTGTCCTATTTATTTCACTTAAGAGGATGGCCTCAATATGCATCCATTTAGCTATAAATGTCTCTAGTCTCTCATTCTTTACAACTGAGTATTACTCCATTTTATTAAAAAACCACATATTCTTTATTCAGTCTCCAGTTGATGGGTAATTGGGCTGTTTCCAAGTTTTAGCTATTACAGACTGTTGCTGCCATAAACACGGGTACACATACATCACTGTGGTATGATTCTTTTAATTCTTTGGGGAAGGTCCCCAGCAGGGGAATAGCTGGGTCAAATGGGACCTCTAGTCCTAGTTCTCCAAGGTATCTCCATACTGATTTTCAGTGTTTGCACCAGTCTACACTCCCAGCAACAGTGGAGAAGGGTTCCTTTTTCCTCACAATCCCGCCAGAATTTGTTATTGGTTGATTTCTTGATAGCAGCCATTCTTTCTAGGATGAGGTGGAATCTCAGTGTTGTTTTCATTTGCCTCTCTCAAATGACCAGTGATGTTGAACATTTTTTCACGTTTATTTGCTGTTTCAATTTTTTTGTCTGAGAAATTTCTGTTCATTTCAGATGACCATTTTTGGATTGGGTCTTTAAATTTGGGAGGTCTGATCCTTTTAAATTCTTTATATATTCTAGATAGTAGACCTCTGTCTGAGGAACAGGTTGTAAAAATTTTTTCCCACATTGTGGGTTGTCTCCTCACTCTGTTGGTGGTTTCTCTTGCAGTGCAAAAGCTTTTTAATGATGAGATCCCAGTTGTTGATTTTTTTGTGCTAGTTCACGTGCAACTGAGGTTTTGTTTATGAAATCTTTTCCTACGCCAGTGTCTTCAAGAGTTCTACCTAACCTCTCTTCCAGCTAGTTTCGTGTTTCTATTTTAATGTTTAGATCTTTGATCCATTTCAATTTTAGTTTAGTGCATGGTGAAAGATAGGGGTCTAGTTTTAATGTTAGGCAAGTTGAAACCCAATTTTTCCAGCACTATTTATTAAAGAGGCTATCTTTCCTCCAGTGAGGTTATTCGGCTCCTTTGTCAAAGATGAGGGGGCTGAGTATGTCTGGAGTTGTTTCTGCATCTTCTAATCTGTTCCACTGCTCCTAGGGTCTGTTTATTTGCCAGTATCATGATGTTTTTATCACTGTAGCTTTGTAGTATAGTTTCAAGTTGGGGATTATGATACTCCCTACCTTGTCTCTCTCTCTCTCTCCTTTTTTCTTTTTTTGCATTCAAAAACTATTTACTAATATCTAGTATGTATCAGGTAC